TTGATTTATGGGTACATGGTACATATTACTAATCGACAGAAGCTCATGCTGGATTGGAAATCGCAAGCCGAACATTACTTGGTCGATGAAAAACGTGAAGCAGCCCTTGCGAGGATGGGTAAAGACGTCATTGGGGCCTGGGGCGATCAACTCCCAGTCAAAAGGCAAACCACTGAATGACCTAAAACCCTCGATTTGGGCTGCAAAAGCATAAGAAAACGGATTTAGAACAGCTAATCTAGCTACGGGACAGGCTATGGTTACATCTCGAGATACAGAAAAATGAGCTGATATTGACAGAGGAATGGGACTTGTCCTATACACGGGAATGTCTAAAAGTCCAAGAGGAATACCTCGAGGAAAGGAGGATAGTCGAGGGGAGTCGCTACCTCGAGTAGGGTCGTTCTTATTCTGCATTATTTTACCCGATAGGAGGGCTTGAGTATATACATCTTTGTCGATCCCAAAGGTCGAAGCAGACGAACCTTGGGATCCCTCTTGCTCGATCGCAGGCGCAGAGCCAATTATTTCGATGGAGCCGGAACCTGAATAATCCTCTATTTGACGGACGAGAGAGCCGGGCATAGAGCCAGAGATAGAGTCGGACCCAGAATCTATTGAAGAAAAAATCGAGGAAGGATCAGCAAAAGAAGAATTAGAGGAAAAAACGCTTATGGTATGGGAACCCATAGAACACAAAGTCGACCACTGATGTATCTACTCGACTCATTCAATCCTAGAAACGAGGAATGACTGAAGCTCAAGGTGACTAAAAAGGTTAGAGAGTCGACATAAGTCAACAAGTAAAGGGGAAAAGGAGTCATCTCGACTCCTCAAAGCGATACCCTCACAAACACGATTCAATCGATGAAAAGTAAGCATAGAAGATCTAGCGCGAACTTTACCAAGAACTTTCAAAGATCCTTAAGAACACGAAGAACACGAGCCCAGGAACCCAGAAAAATTGAAGAAAAAAAAAGTAAAAGTAAATGCTAGAAATGAAATCAATACTTACACATGATGATTGAAGTAGGAAGTCCTGCAAAATCTGAGAAGTTCTCGGATGTTGCGACCGTTGGAAGCACCAAAAAGTTATATTGCCGGAGATTTGAGAATTTAAGGAGAAAAAGTTGTGAAAAGTGGAAGAAGAGAAAAGTGAGGTATTTATAGGGCGGTTAGGGAAGCCCTAGCCCTGCGATTAAAGGGGAAATCAACGGCCAAGATGAGACACGGAATTCGAAGCGGTTAAAGGAGGATGAAGGCGGCGAGCCACGTGCCGCCTACAAAAATTTGAAATTCAAAAAAAAAAAAAAAAAAAAAAAAAAAAAGAAAAAAAAGGGGGAAATGGAAAGGAAGGGGTTCAGTCCTGAACAAGTTCTAAGTGTGGGTCTCGACCGCAAGTCATAATCAAATAAAATAAGTCATCGACAGGACAAATGAAGGGCAAAGACGAGACGACTCATCACCTAACTACCAAACTTACTCTTAAGCTCGAAATCGCTTAGAGTAATTTTTGGGGGGGACTAGATGATATAGCCCTATTGTCATGGCCCGGCTCAGATAGAGATTGCTCGACTGAAGACTGCAGACGACCCCACTAAGTCGACACCAACGATGTCGACTTGGTCCATCGGCTATTCAAAAGTCGTCGAATCGGTCATGGTATCTAGTCGACTTTATAAAGTCGACCGGACACAAGACGACTTCATCCACGATGACGAGCAGGCACTCTAGGAGCCCTCGGATACTTGTATAACTTCAGACCGACTCGATAAAGTTACAAGTCGACTTACAAGGACCTCCGACGACTCGATGTGCAGATGCGACACATGGAAGGTTCCCAAGTGCGAGTTTATACAGGATAAGAAGGAATCTAGATACTGACTCAAGAGTAAGCGGAATGCGAACCGACCAGGGCATTTTGGGTACTTCATGTAAGTCGGCCAGGGCATTTTAGGGACTTCAAGTAAGTGTTTCTACTCCTATATAAAAGGGCTGAGGTAACCCTAAACCCCAACTTTTATTCTCCTCATTCATTATTCAGCTGCTGCTCCTACTGAGCAGAGCTCCTCCTCTCCTCTCTCACTGACTTGAGCGTCGGAGGCTCTTCACCGGAAAACACTTCCGGTGTTGAGTTCTTGCAGGTGTTCGCAGCGGTCCACGGGCGACTTGGAGACGATTCGAACAGATCGAAACTCATTTCCACTGGTTCACTCCAGATCTAGGAGGAGACCCATCACACTTTATTTATTACTAGTGTGTATTTAGCATAACTTTTGTAAATTATAAATTTGATTATGAATTAAATTAAAATATATTAATTGTTTTAATTGCAAATAGATACCTATAACTTATCAAATTTTTAAAGACAAGTCCTTATCAAAAATTTATCTGTTGCAGCGTATTGCCTCCATCCATATAAAATCTTCATCAACTTGACCACAGCCGCCGAAAAAACATCGTATTCCGGGAAGACCTCACACCACGGCGGCACCACCGGCAGAGACGGCGAGTGTTCCGCCCCCGACTTCGGGCGGCGTCAATTCAGACGTCGGTCTCATTCAGTTCGGCAACGCCGCCTCAAAACCTGCATCTCACCCCCTGCGCCGCCTCCGACTGCGACTAAATCGATCTTCCCACGACCTCGCAGTCCGACGGTTCACATCCGACTAGATCTACGCCGACAATGGAAGGGACGATTCACATCCGATAAGATCTACGCCGAAGACGGAAGCCCTTCTGTGTCGCGTTCATCTCCTATGGCGGATGACTGCAGAATGAGCGGCGAGGGTGGTGGCCAGCCTACGGCGGGGCTGGTTGCCGACTACTGTGTCTGTGTTGTACAGCAACGGTACACCTCCGACCATATCTTCTCCGTCGAAGGAAACCTTCTGTGTCGCGTTCATCTACGATGGCTGACGATGGAGGAGTGGCGGCGGTGGCCGGCCTACGACGGGGATGGTTGCCGGTTGATCTGTTTTGTGCGAGAGAGGAAGAGAGAGAATGGGCTGATTTGTGGTAGGTCCCACTGGGTGATGGGGTAGTTTGTGGTGGGGTCCATTGGGTAGTTGTGTTAGATTGAAATGTCTAATTTGCCCTTACTTATTGGTCAAATGTACATATTTGACCACTATGATCAAATAATTACCAGATTGCCATTAATGATTGACCATATTTTGACTTCATCTTACCCATTGATATTGTTGATTACATGTGTAGACAATTAAATTTTGAGCCAATAAAACGGCGACAAGTGTCAAATTCCATGAC